ATATGATGGAGCATTATCAGTTTTGATTTGTGCAGGTATACCCATAATGGCCATAACTTCTAGCAAATGAGTGATTACAGAATCAGCTTTTTCAGAACTCAAAGCAGTTGCCCATTGAAATCCTGAATAAGTATCGATAGTGTGATGTACATATTTCAATTTTCCAAATTCTGCAAAGTGAAACATGTCCACCTGCCAGATTTCATTCCTTTGAGTACCCTTTGGGTTACATCCTGCTGGTAATGGTGTTTGATTGTAGAAGGAACAAGTAGGACATTTCTTTACTATTTTTTTGGCTTGTTGCCAGGTTATGGAAAAATCCTTTTTTAAACCTTTACTATTGACATGATGTTTTTTATGAAATTCTGAGGCCTCCAGCACATTTCCTATCAATAACTTATCAATCTCATCATTGCCTTGTGCTAGAGGGCCTGGCAGACCAGTATGGGATTGGATGTGAGTTATATATAAAGGATGACTCCTTTTTCTGATTGTATCTTGTAATTGAATAAATAATGAAGTTAATTCTGAAGCATCGTGGATAAATTCTGCAGTCTCAATATGTAATACTACTCTTTCAGCATACTGAGAGTCAGTTACTATATTGAGAGGTTCTGAAAAATCCATTAATACCAACAGAATAGCATACAATTCTGATTTTTGAACTGAATTATAAGGACTTTGAACCACTTTACTTAAATTTTCTGATTTGTAACCTGCCTTTCCTTGTTTGTTGGCATCTGTATAAAATGTATGAACTCCAGATATGGGTTTTTTCCTCACAATTCGAGGCAAGATCCAATCAGCTCTCTTTATAAGATCAATTCTATTGCTTTTGGGATATTTGCTGTTAATTTCTCCCAAAAAATTACTACAAGCTTTTTGCCAAGCTTCATTTTCTATCCATAATTTTTCAATGTCTTCCTTAGTTAAAGGTACGACAATTTCTGCTGGGTCTATTCCTGCTAATTGATGAAGTCTCAATTTTCCTTTCCAAATCAAGTCAGAGATTTTTTTCCACATAAGTTTTTAATTTTTTATTTGGTTTATTTGGTAAATATATCCATTCCAATATAATATCTTCCCTTTGCATTAATATTCCTGTTGGGGAATGCCTAGAAGGTAAAATAACCAAAATGCAATCCAGCTTTGGATCAATACGATCTACATGCCCTTCATGTACTTTGTTTTCTACCAAGGCCAATTCTTTCTCAGCTTCAGGTGATAATTCTCTTGGACTATTCAAGTCCTTATTACCTTCTAAGGTTTTAAACAAATTATTCAGTTCATCATTTTTTACCCCAACAATAGTTTTTAGATGAGAAATGTCTCCAAATAATCTTTGAAAGTCATTAAGAGTCTGTAGTCGATCTCTCCTAATTTGCACCTTTTGAGGTCTAATTTTTTGAAGTTCTATTTTATATCCTAAATAATTAATAGAATCTCCTCTTTGTATCTTTTCTGGAGCAATTTGTAATCCCCAGCAAGGCAAAATTTTCTTTACTTCTTCAAACATTCTTTCTAAAGTATCTGCATTTGAGTCAGCTAATAAAATATCATCCATATAATGATAAATTATAGATTTAGGAAATTTTTTACGTACCACTTCTAATGGCTGTTTTACAAAATATTGGCACAAAGTTGGGCTATTCAACATTCCCTGTGGGAGAACCCTCCATTGAAATCTTATAACCGGTTGAGAATTATTCTAAGTAGGCACTGTGAAAGCAAATCTTTCTCTGTCTTTTTCTTGTAAGGGTATTGAAAAGAAACAGTCTTTTAAATCAATAACTATGAGAGGCCATCCTTTTGGTAACAGAGTAGGCAAAGGAATTCCAGATTGTAAAGAGCCCATTGGCTGAATTACTTTGTTAATTGCTCTAAGGTCTGTTACCATTCTCCATTTACCAGATTTCTTTTTAATAACAAATACAGGAGAATTCCAAGGGCTGGTTGATTCTTCAATATGATGAGCATTTAACTGTTCTTCCACCAGCTCTTGTAAAGCCTGGAGTTTCTCTGTTGTTAAAGGCCATTGCTGAACCCATACAGGCTTATCTGTTGACCATTTTAAAGGTAGAGCTGTTGGTGTTTTTGGAAAATTATCAGTTGTTGTGCCCTGTTCTTGTATGACATGGATGGCTGGTGAGCACTCATTAGAATAATATCTTTTAATATTTCTCTCAGAAACATGTACTAATTTATGATTTGTTTCTGAGATTGGAGGGTTATTAATCTGAGTATTCCATTGTTATAACAAGTCTCGACCCCACAGGTTCATAGCTATGTTAGCCATATATGGTTTTAATTTTCCTTTCTGTCCTTCTGGACCTATACATTCAAACCATCTTGCACTTTGTTTCACTCGAGATAATGTCCCAATTCCTAACAGTTGAACGTTTACCTCCTGAAGAGGCCAAGTTGGATGCCAAAATTCTGGTGCAATTATGGTAATGTCAGCACCTGTGTCTACCAGACCAGACAACAAAACACCATTTATCTTTATTGTTAGTTTTGGTCTTTGTTCATTAATAGAAGTTTGCCAAAAATTTTCTTTATGTTTTTTCCTGAATTTCCTATTTTCTCTGTTTCATCATCTCGACTAGCATGATTTATTCCAATAGACATTTGGTTATTTAGTTGCTTTGAGTAGGGGTTTCCTCTACAACTGCAGGAAAAGTTTGAACTGTATTTACTGTGGGGGCCTGCCTGAGGCCCCTCTGGGAGTTTCCCGAAGCTCGAGGCAGAGGATTACCCTGTCTGTCCCTTGTTGATCTACATTCGTTGGTCCAGTGTTTTCCCTTACCACACCTTCTGCATACTCCAGAAGGAAGGGGCATTCTGTTGCCAGTGTTCCTTGAAGAAACATTATTTCTAGGAGTGACCTGTTTACAATCCCTTTTCAAATGTCCTTGCTTTCCACATCCAAAACATCTAACATTTCTCAAACCTTTTGAAATTGCTTTTCCTACCCACATATCATCATGGTCATAAGCCTCAACATTAACTGTATCTCTAATCCAATCTTCCAAAGGTGCAGATCTTGCCTTTAACGGCCTGATTATTCTTTTGCATGCTGCATTTGCATTCTCAAAGGCCAAAGATTCAATTATTATCTGACTAGCCTCTAAATTCTGGACCATTTTCTGTACTGCTGAAGTCAATCTTTGTAAGAAATCTGTGAAAGATTCTTTTGGGCCCTGTATAACCTTTGTAAATGACTCAGTTTTTTTTCCTGGTTCTTCAACTCTGTCCCATGCATTCAAAGCTGCCATTCGACATAGAACTAGGGTTTGGACATCATATAAACATTGTGTTTCTACTGAAGCATATTGGCCTTCTCCAATAAGCTGATCCTGGCAGACTTGTATTCCACTATCCCTCCATTGTTTTTCTATATTTTTAGCCTCATTATTGAACCACATTTTCCACTGGAGATTTTGTCCGGGTTCAAGAACAGCCTGTGCCAATTCCCACCAGTCCTTTGGTATAATCCTATTACAAGTTGACCAGGTGTTTAACGTTTGCTTTACATATGGGGAGTGCATGCCATAAGATGCTATTGCCTCCTTAAATCTTCGTAAGTCTAACATTTTAACTGGAGCCCAAGTATTTTGTTCATTCTCTTCATCAGGTAGCTGCTGTACGGCTACCGGATAAATTAAGGGTGATTGTGTGAGAACTGGCTTTCTTTCTGTAACCTTGCGATCCAATTTTGAAACAACTTCACTATTTATTTCTTCTGTCTGAATTTGAATTTCTCTATAATTCATCTTTACTGGTTTAACAGATTTTTCTAAGACTGTTATCCTAGCACTTAAGTTGACTATCTTTTTAAATAGTAAAATGAGGATAAGAAAAGTAATAAACTGAATAATTCGATCAATATTAATCTTTTCATATAGTTGTTCCATTGTCAGAGTGCCTAAAATTTCAAACAAAGCCCAATTTTCTTCCAATGTACACATAAAGCCCTTTTTTTTTTAAATGTAGAAAAAAAATTCTCTTTTAAATAGATATGTTAATTGACTTACCAAGTCTGGGTAGAACAGTAGACTTCCAGGGAATTTCAAAACAGCCACCTGGTGTTCGAGGTGTGAATCCAGAGAGAGAGAAAGCGTAGCTGCTTGAGCTGAGTCAAGCCTTGGCTTTACAGGCAGGGGCCCTATTCGGCAGGGCAGGCCTGAGTTGTTTGTAGCAGTTGCAAGTAGCTCCAGCTGCGGATCAGTCAGGCCTGGGCCCGAGCTAGGCAGCCGGGCCGCCCAGGCCGGAAACCGGACCTGCCGCCAAGCCAAGCCAAGCCAAGCCAAGCGGTTTTTAATGGATTCTTGTCCCTGTTCAGGCGCCAAATGTAGATGTAACCAACCTTCTTAAATAAGAAACACAGAACCAATGCAAAGAAGAAAGCCAAGAGGTCAGAGCTAAGAGCTAAAACCTTACCCTTCCTCCTGCGGTGGTCCTACCTCTCTGAACCAGAGCTACCCCTGTGTTAAAGTCTTTATATAAAGTTCCTGTTCTGCCTTCTCATTGGTTGTAAACCCAACCACATGACAGCCTGCTCATGGCCTGTCTGTATAGGCCTCCAGGTTTTCCATGATTGGTATTGATTAAAGGCATGTGTATCCAATAATGGCTGTATCCCTGAACACACAGAGACTCACCCAGATCTGCCTACCAAGTGCTGGGATCACAAGAGTGCGCCACCACTGCCCTGCTTCCCTATGGCTTGCTAATAGCTCTGACCCCCAGGCAACTTTATTTATTAACATACAAATAACATTTTAATACAAATAAAATATCACCATAACAACCCACAACTCCAGAGAAGCTAACTAACAGGGAAGACCCAAAGAGGGATGCATGGACTGCCCTGGGAAGGGGAAATAGAAGAGATCTCCATGAGTAAACTGGGGATGAGGGGTGGGCAATGGAGGGTAGGGGATAGGGGATGAGAACATTTTTGTTTTTAATTATGTGTAAACGTGTGTCATTGTGCACAGTTGCAGGCACTCTCAGAGGCCAGAAGAGGGCGTTTGGATTCATTGGAGCTGAAATGACTATAGGCTATAGGCTGCCTGGTACAGGTGCTGGGAACAGAACCATGGTCTTCTGGAAGAGCCGCCCTGAGCCATCTCTTCAGTCGGCAGTCAGTTGGTTAACTCTTAAAGCCTCAGTTTTATCACCTGGAACCTAGAAGCAATGATGAGAAGAGAGCACATGTGGATTCTGAGGATTGAACTGAGATCATCAGGCTTGGAAGCAAGTGCCTTTATCAGCTAAGCCAGCTTACTGACCTTTTTGTTTGTTTGTTTGTTTGTTTGTTTGTTAGAGTTTCATATAGCCTGGACTAGCCTTGAGTTCCATATGCAATTGAGGATGACCTTGAACTTCTGATCCTCCTGCCTCCATTTCCTAAGTGCTATTATCACAGGGGTGTGCCATCATGTCTGGGGACTGAACTAGGGCTTTGTGGATGCTAAGCAAGGACTCTATCTGTTCAGCAACATCCCTAGCCTCCTGGCTGTCACCTCACTTCCAACTCTGTTCTTTGTGCCATGGTCAAGTGTGGAGTTCTAACACAAAGGCTAGTCATTGCTCTACTTAAAAGACCCAGGAGTTTCCACGAGACTTACATTGCAATCCTGGCATAGTTAGAGCCCCGAACATCCTGCAGGCTCTGCTGCAGCCTTCTTTTTCATCTCTCCCGATTGCCTGCACCCCTCCATCCCCCTTTCCACTTCCTGGGACTCATTAAACAGCAACCAGTCCCTGCCTCAAACCGCTACACAAGTTGTCTTCTTTCTCAGGATGCTTTTCTTGGGGATCATATACATACATACATACATATATATATATATATGTATACACACACACACACACACACACACACACACACATATATATATATATATACACATATTTTACGTCTCTGTTCAAAGGTCATATTCCTAGACAGATCCTTCTCAACTCTAGTTAAATTTGCACACTTCCCACTTCCTACTTCCATTACTCTTCATTTTATTACCCAGCTGTATTTTTCACATAGCACATGTTACTTATTATTATATTGTTCGCTTAGTTTTATCATCTATTCTCTCTCACTAGACTATAACCGTCATCAAGTCAAGGACATTTTCTTTCTTCTTTTTTTTTTACTTCTGTATCTCTATGCCCAGGAGCAGTACAAGAAACATAAAGATGGTAGGGACTCAGTAGATACTACTAAATAAATGAACTCATTGGGGATTCCTGGGAAGAGACTCCACGTGGGTAATGTTGGTCTGCACCTTAACCCAGAGAGACATCTTTGGAGCCTCCAGGATCTCTGTTTCTCTGGTCTCCAAGATGATATATGTCCAATGCTCTGAGGGGCAGGGATGCTTGAAAAACCATCTGACAACTTAATGTTCTTGGGATTTTTAAAAAAAATCAGATTGAGGTAATCTTTACCTTTTGTTTAGAAGAGAGTTTCTGTGAAAACAAATTCGGTCTCTGTCTCCCCCCCTCTTTCAACTGGGCAATAAAAATGACAACAACCAAGGATTCTTATTTCTCTTATCACATATTAAAACTATCTATGGTTTCATACTAGGTATACTTAAGGAAAAAAAGGATTTCTCACTCTCAACTGGTAGGTGACATGTTTTTCTCCTGTAGATAAAATGTGGTAAATCATTATTTTCCTACAAGTGCATGTATGTAAAGCTGAAGCCCCCAAAAGTGACAGATGTGGGGACATGGCTGTGGCAAGTCAACGTGGAGCAGTGGGTAAGTGTACACAACCTGCAGCCTCTTGGCTGGAGTTAGGATGCAGGTTTTGTGTTTATCTGGAAAGAGAGGATAACAGCACCTTCCCTGTCAGTTTACTTACGTAGAGTAAATGAGCTAACTAATAGAAAATACTTAGAATAGTTCCGGGCATCCAATAAACACTAGTCACTTCTCAATACATGAAACATCAGCAGGCACTCAGCTCATGTTAGCTACTAGCTTTTGGTGAGCTGGCATAGCTATTAAGAGACAGTTGCATCTTATGTATTGTGTGTAAACTGTATAGGAGTGGGTATAAGGACAAAGAAAAGCTGTCCTCAAGGAAACCAATGCGTACATAGTACATAGACAGGGAGGCCCACGTACACAGATGGCTCAAGAGGAAATGAGGTGGAGTGAAGGGCTGTGTTGACCATGCACAGGGAGTGGTGTGAGACAGCTGTCTGGATCTTGATTTCCTTTCTTTTCTTTTTTAATGTTGTATTCATAATTAATTAAATTGAGTATTTCTGTTTACTAAAAGAATAAAATATTATAAAATGGGAACATATGGCTTATAACTTAAAATCTGGATTCTGTTGACACTGTTTTATATGCAATTATGTAACAAATACATGAATTTTAAAAATATGATTTCAAACAATTATATTGCATCAGCTTAATCTAACATTTTATATTAGATTGTTTTATTATTCTCTATTAAAATGAAACTCTTATTGTTGTTTTAGATTCATTTCTAAGCTTAGACTCCTGGAGTAGCATGGATAAATTTGCATTAAAAATGTTAGTTTTGGGTCTGAGATATCTTTAATCCACACCCAGTAAGAGGCAGTATAGTGAACACTTCTGGGAGCATTGCCAGCTTGGAAAATTGTCAATATTTTGACAAAATAAGACATTTTAAGGTATTATTAAACTATTTTTCTAGAAACAATAAAAACAAATTTTATTTGAAAATTGTCACAATGAAACCTAATTCTTTATAAGCTGATAAACTAAAGAATAAAAGCAACTTTTTCCCTAAATATTTAAAACTTCAACTTTTCTAGTAACTAACTTGCAAGTATTAATTTCTCCTCAGAGTTCCCAGCATGGAGGGTCAGTATTTATTTATGACTATTTCTCTTTATTCTTTCAGAATTTCATGCATAGATACAATATATCTTGGTCATATACACCCCAAGTCCTCCTCACTTTCCCCCAGGACTCTCCCCACATGTGCTCGGTCCTCCTCTCGCCTTTATGCCCCCTTTTCTTTTTAACAACCCAGTGAGTCCAGTTAGCACTGGCTTCATGGGTATAAGCCACATGGGTATAAGCCACCTATGGGTGGTCACGCTCCCAAAGGAAATGATTCCTCCTCCATCAGCCTGACCGCCATAAAAAACAAAGAAAAGTCAGTCACCCTATTGAAGCTTGGCTTAGTTGGTTATGAAACCAACACAAACCCATAGTCATGTGAGATTGTTATTTGACCCCATCCCTCTCTTTTTGCACAATAGTGTTCTTAGCTTGGCTTTTCTAAGTTCCCTCCTCAGACATCAAGGGAAAGAACACTCTGACTGCTACGTTTGGCCAGTTTCATCCAATTGAAAAGGTCAACCACAATCACAGGGAAATGTTTGCCCGAATCTGCGAGTCCTGATTGCAACAAACTCAAATCCAGAAACATTGAAGTGTCAATAAAGACATGCACGGCTAGTGACAGGGCAATGGAGTTTTTTTTTTATAGTTATTTCCTGAAGTTACACCTCAGAAAAGTATTGCATTTTCATGTAAAAAATTGTTTTGTGAATCAGGATTTAATAATTGCATTTGATAATGCAAGAATAAGAAGCTATCCTTTAAAACTCTCAGAATTGAGCAACACAGCTTAAAAATTGTGTAAAAGAGACTACACTGGTTCTTTGATGTTGGGGTGGGTGAGAGGGTGAGCCCTGTACAAGGATGTTGGAAATTCTTTGTAAAGTGGATGCCATCAGGACATGGATAAAGGGAAATGTGAAAGAAGATGAAGCAATAGTAAGGCTGATATTTGGCACAGCACAACTATGAAAGTGGATTGTTGAAGATTTAAGAAAAAAAACCAAATTCCAAGTAAAAGTACTACTCAGCGTGACAATGTGGCCTATTTAATTTCTCTGGGCTTTGAATACCCACATTTGCAACCTGGGTAAAGGACAGGCTGGTGTAGCTTGCTTTCTGAGCTTGGTGTGCAAATTGCATGCATCCGTAGATATTTGTATGCATGAGCCATTCTGCTGGTGAATGGCATAGAAACAAAGAGGCATGAGACTTGTGAGAAAGCTTTGCTCCAAAAGGAGACGGATGGTGACCAAGGACAGAACGGAAATCACAAGGAAACATATATTGAGAACCTCATGCATGTCTGGCATTGGTCTCTGTGCTTATACACATGGGGTCTCCTTTAATTTACACCAGCACTCTGAGGTAGGTGTTATACATTTCTGAGTTTTACAGTGAAAATGCTGGAGTCCACATTTCTCCAAAGTCACAGGGATAGTGGGAGATAAAGCCAGAGGAAGCCTTGAGGCTAAGTACTCATTGACTGTAGAGTATGTCTTTACTACAACTCAGTGACATTGGGACAGTAACTTTACCCTTGACTTCTTCCCTTGTACTAGGTCTAATGGAGGAGGAAAATCAGACAGGAGTGGTATATTTCCACTTCCGCCCCTTTTCAACCAGCTCCACAGTAGCTTCCCTGGTGTTTGTGGGCTTCTTGCTGCTGTATCTTGGAAGCCTCATTGGAAACCTCACCATTGGGCTCACCATCTGGCAGGATCACTCCCTCCATACCCCAATGTACTTCTTCCTTTTTGTGTTGGCCACATTAGAGCTTGGCTATTCCACCAACATTGCTCCGTTGACTCTGGCTAGCATCCTCTCCATGGGGAAGATGCTTATCTCTCTGCCCAGCTGTGGGGCTCAGATGTTCTTCTTCATCCTTCTAGGAGGATCTGATTGTGTCCTGCTTGCCATCATGGCCTATGACAGGTATGTGGCCATCTGTCATCCACTGCATTACAGCCTCATTATGAGTTGGCAGCTGTGCGGGCAGATGACTTTAGGTTCCCTGGGGCTGGGATTCCTGTTGTCATTGCCTTTGACCATTCTGATCTGCCACCTTCCATTCTGTGGCCACAATGAAATCTACCACTTCTTCTGTGACATGCCTGCAGTCATGCGCCTGGCCTGTACAGATACCCACATGCACCAGGCAGCTCTCTTTGCCATCAGTGTGGCTGCGGTGGCCATTCCCTTTCTCCTCATCTGTCTTTCCTATGGTTGCATTGTGGCTACCATCCTGAGGATGAAGTCAGCCGAGGGGAAGCGCCGGGCCTTCTCCACCTGCTCCTCACACCTCCTCGTGGTTGCCCTGCAGTATGGGTGTTGCACCCTCATCTACCTTCGCCCGAGCTCCAGCTACACCCCAGAGGAAGGCCGGGCAGTATCTGTTGTCTATACTTTTTTCTCCCCATTGCTGAATCCCTTAATCTATAGCATAAGGAACCAAGAGGTGACTGATGCAATAAAAAGACTTTTGGCAAGTATGTTCTGGCTCAGGAAGCCAGAAACGTTCCTTCCTAGGAAAATTATTCACCAAACAAGGAGGGACTGATGGGAAGGAAGCTCACAATAAACAATGACAATGGAACAGTAGTTGTGCTCGTTACTACCTTGGTTGGTGAAGTGCTCATTGTCATCCCCTTACTGCTATTAGATTTTCAGTGACTAAGTCCTGGATTGACTCGTGCCGCTGTAAGGAGCCTTCTTTTCCCCCACAGGACTTAGAATAAGGTCTGGCAGAGGAAAGTCAGAGAAGAAAGGAGGAAATGAATGAATGAGTAGAGTGGTGACAGTGGATGATAGATGGCTGTCGTTCTGTCACATTGTTAAAGTCTTGTAGACACCAATGCATCTACATCCATAAACGCTCCTTTGACTTTGCTTTTTGACATTACAAGTGTCCTGACATCCCACTCCCTTAATGCAATCTTGCCATTCTATCTGATAGTGATCATTAAAAAAACTAAATCATATTTCTTTTTATAAAATTGAGTTTAATATGTCATGATATTAACCCTGCAATAAAACTGAAACTTCTTTTGAGGCAGAAGAAATGGATTGCTTTTCTCATTTTTCCTTGCACATTGCTAAGGACATAGTAAGGGCTCAGCTTTAGGATCTATCAAAGTTGAGTCCTAATCTTTCCTTTATTTGTTTTATTATTTTATGTGTTTGGGTGGTTTGTGTGAATATATATATATATATATATATATATATATATATATATATGTACACCATGTGTATGTTTGGTGCTCAAGGTCAGAAGAGGGTATCAGATCTCCTGGGCCTGGAGTCACAGATGTTTGTGAGCCATCATATGAGTGCTGGGAGTGGAAACTGGGTCCTTTGCAAGAGCAACAAGTGCCCTTAGTTTCTGAGTCTTTTCTCCAACTCCTAGTCTTTCCTTTATGTTAAAAGTAGACAGTAATAAATTCTATCTATCTATCTATCTATCTATCTATCTATCTATCTACCTATCTATCTACTCTTTGGAGCCACGTAAAGTTACATTTGCCTTTAGTCCCAGCACTTGGGAGGCTGAGGCAAGAAAATAACTTAAGCTCAGGAGACTGATGGAGAGGGTTAGATGGAGTATTGGGAATACAGGATGATACTTTCAATGTATCTTTCTTAAAAAGAAAAAGGTGAGATGGGAGATGGATCAGTGGGCAAAAGTGCTTGCTTTGCAACTATGGGAATCTGTGTTTGAATCTGGAGTACCCACATAAAAGCCAGGCATGGCTGTGTGTGCCTGCAGTTCCATGCTTGTAGCAGTGAGGGTGGGGGGCAGACAGGTGGATCACTAGGCTTTGCTGGCTGCCACCCAGCTTCAGGTTCAGAGAAAGGCCTGGTCTCAAGGGAATAAGGTGGAGAGTTGTAGATCAGGACAATTGATATCATTCTTTGGTCTTAGTGTGTATGCATGGGTATTCACACCTGTGAACATGTGTGTACATACACCACACACACACACAAAATGGTAAAGAAACCATTCTCTTCTCTTTATTTAACTTTTATTTTTATGTGTGTTGTATATTTAACATTTATGTGTATGTGTGTATATGCTACATGAGTGTATGTGCTCTCAAAGGCCAGAAGAGGGTGCTGGAGCTCCTAGAGCTGTACTTACAGGTAGTTATGGGTCCCTGACATGGGTGTTGGGATCTGAACTTGGGTCCTTTGCAAGAGCAGCAAGTGTCCTTAACCTCCAAGCCATCTCTCCAGCCCCCACTCCATTCTTCTCTTAATTTTGCAAATACATTACAATAGATAGTAACAGACCATCTATCCCTTATCTGATGCTGCAACACATAAGTCAGGAGGAGAACAGAGAAGAACAATATGAAAACCTAATGGCAAGAATTCCTGGGTCTGTGGCCTGGAAAAAACACTGAAGCAGAGGGCCATACATCTATTTTCATTAACTCTAATAAGGAGGAGAGCCAATGAATACTTCATCACTAGCCATGTTATTTGTTGAAATGAATGAGGTCTATTTCAGGGTACTATATTCTCAATAGCTTTTCAAATAAGATTTGAAGCACCTACAGAGCTAAACAGAGAATTCTCAACAGAAGAATCTCAAATGGCTGAAAGACATTTAAGGAATTGCTCTACATCCTTAGTCAGGAGGGAAGCGCAAACCAAAATGACTCTGAGATATCATCTTACACCTGTCAGAAAGGCTAAGATCATAAACACTGAAGACAGCTTATGTTGGAGAGGATATGGAGCAAGGGGAACACTCCTCCACTGTTGGTGGGAGTGTAAATTTGTACAGCCACTT